TATATATATATATGTATGTATATATATATATATATATATTTGTATATATATATATATATATATATATATATATATATATATCTATATATATATATATATATATATATATATGTATATCTATATATATATATATATATATATATATATATATATATATATATATATATATATATATATATATATATATATATATATATATATATATATATATATATATATATATATATATATATATATATATATATATATATATATATATATATATATATATATATATATATATATATATATATATATATATATATATATATATATATATATATATATATATATATATATATATATATATATATATATATATTTTTTTTTTTTTTTTTTTTTTGTTATTTGGACAATTTGTGATTTTATCATCTAAATGGCAAATAAAAAAGTAAAAACGTGGAAGAAAAAATATTTTTGCAGAACAACACAAAAAATATTAATCATAATTAATTGTGAAATTATCAATTTATAAATGTAAATCTAGAGAAACTTGGATTTTCTCTCTCTCTCTCACACACACACACACACACGTATGTATTTATTATATTATTATTATTATTAATATTATTTAAAGATCATTTAAGATTATTTAAAAAAGATTCCTTTTTTGTTTTTTGTCAAAAAAAACAACTGTTTTTATTTAAAACCACACACACAAAAACCTTTCTTAATTATTTTTTTAATTAAAACATTGGCATAAAATAACAAATGTTTTCTTTTTTATAACCGAAGATCACATACAAAAAATTATCTAAATGACAAAAAAAAAGATAGAATAGATATCATCATTTTGCAGAACAACACAAAAATTATTAATTGTAATTAATTAAACATAAAACTATTAAATAATAATTGTAAATCAAGAGAAACTTGAAAAAATAAATATATTTATTTATTTATTTATTTTCTTTTATTCAAACACACATAAATATTTATTGTTCTTTAAAGATCCGACAACATTTCGCCTTTTGTTTTTTTTCGTTTTTGTTTGCCAATCGGTCAAAATAACAAATGTTTTCAACTTTTATGACTGAATATCACACACAAAAAATCATTTCTTAACTATATTGAAGTTAAAACATTAGTAATATGTTAATTAAAATAAATATATACAGATTATCTTTTGGACCATTTGTGAAATTTTGATCTAAATGGCAAATAAAAAATGTAGAAATGTCATCAGTTTGCAGTACAACACAATATTAATTAAACATTAATCTATCATAATTATTTACATTTAAAACTATTAAAAAATAAATGTAAATCCAGAGAAACTTGGATCTCTTAATTATTTTACATGGTATACAACACAGGTGTCAAACTCCAGCTCTGCACCGTTTAATCCTAATTAAACACGCCTGATCAAATGAATCGAGTCCGTCAGGCTTGTTTGAAACCTACAGGTAAGTGTGTTGGAGCAGGACTGGGACTAAACTGTGCGGGGCTGAGTTTGACACCCCTGCTATACAACATTAGTATTCTGTTTAAGGTGGAATATGAGTTTTGTCAGCTGCAGTGCTGCACAGTTGTGAAACGATGCCGTCTGGTGGTGTTTATGCAGAACTAATCATGTGCCCATATATCAATTTTTCATCGACAGCTTTTCTTTCTGCACCCAAAGTGTTTCTAGATCCTTTGCAGATATCTGCTTATTACACATAATAGCATCAGCCAACCGACCTAATCGTGAAAGTCCACCTTAAACAAGCATCAGACATTGTTTATTCAAGCGTTTACAGAAAGTCAAGCACAACTTCTCATAGTCTCTCACAGGTCACTCCTGATGGTCAGTTCTTACAGTTTCTATTTGTTTACACGCAGTTTGTGTTCTGCTGTGGACGTGTCTCCATTATTGCCAAGAGTGTGTGTGTGTGTGTGTGTTTGTTTGTGTGTGTGTTTAGTGTCCCACGGTGGATTCATCTAACACTTGAATACTGTCTGTTTTAAGATGATACCAAACTGCTTGTCATATAGCATATGAATATCTGAGTAAATGTCCTTTATGTTACAACTGTAAAGATGCTTTGGAAAATTCCAGATATAAGATTGTAATACAAATATTGCGTTAGTCTTGTTTTCTTTCTTGCTAGCATTTTGAAACTTGTTCTATTCTTAAAGGCAAAATTAAACGCCCTCCTGTGGAATTTTATTTATTTTCTAATATTTCCCAAGTCATGTTTAACTGTATTCCATGTTATTCAACTGAAGTCTTTATTATTCGCCCCCCCCCCTGTTTGTTTTTTCCCTCAGTTTCTGTTTAACAGAGATTTTTTCAGCACATTTCTAAACATAGTAGTTTTAATAACTCTAATAACTGATTTATTTTATATTTTCCATGATGACAGCACATAATATTTGACTCGATATTTTTTAAGACACTTCTATATCTTACAGTGACATTTAAAGACTTAACTAGGTTAATTAGGCAGGTTAGGGTAATTAGGCAAGTCACTGAATAAAACTGCGCTCACATGCGCACATGTAGTACGGCGCTACGAAAAGGGGCGGGATTAAACTAGATGATTAGACATTTAAAAAAGCGAGCGATTGGTCCATATTTTACATTTCTGTCCAGTGGTCATGTTTTGATCCTCGATTTTGCAGGTCAGAGTTTACTAAGCTTGAACTTTGCAACGCAGCGAACTGTACGCGAAACTTGTCGCACGAGCTTGCATTTCTGGTCTGATTCATTCGATTACATATGGATGGAATGGAACTAGTGTATATGCAGTTGAAGTCAGAATTATTAGCCCCCTTTGAATTTCTTTTTTAAATATTCCTAAATGATGTTGAACAGAGCATGGAAATTTTCACAGCATGTCTGATAATATTTTTTCTTCTGGAGAAAGTCTTATTTGCTTTATTTCGACTTGAATAAAAGCAGTTTTATATTTTTAAAAAAACATTAAACATGACATAAGGTCAATATTATAAGCCCCATTAAGCTATTTTTGTTTTTGATAGTCTACAGCAGGGGTTCCTAATTGTTTTGGCCATGGGACCCCCATGTTTTTTTAGGAACTATAATACAATTTTAGGAATTATAATTCATTTGTGGGGCGAGGCAGTGGCGCAGTAGGTAGTGTCAAGGCAAGTAAAAGCAATATATTTAGAAGACTTACAGAGCATAAAAGCTGTAACAGAAATATAAATAAGAAATACTTTTTTCTCTATTTTTTTTCCTTGATGACGTTCAATGTTCTGCAAGTAAATAGATTTGATTGTAGCCTTTTAGGAGTTATGACCAACAAAGGGTCATGTTGTGGAGAAACTGTGTAAGTTCCCCTTAATTATGGACAATTTTTAAACACAGTTTTGATCATGTGATTAATAAATTTGAATAAATTGGACAGACTTAATCCTTAAGAAACTATTCTATGGTGGAAATCTGATCAATGACACATTTGATATTGGTTATGGATATAAAAAGTACTTTAATTTCTTGTCAGTGTACACTTGCAAGTCATTGCAGATTTGCTGTGTGTTTTGCATTGTATTGTTTTTTATCTATGGGTGAGGCAGTGGCGCAGTAGGTAGTGCTGTTGCCTCACAGCAAGAAGGTCGCTGGGTTGCTGGTTCGATCCTCGGCTCAGTTGTCGTTTCTGTGTGGAGTTTGCATGTTCTCCCTGCGTTCACGTGGGTTTCCTCCGGGTGCTCCGGTTTCCCCCACAGTCCAAAGACATGCGGTACAGGTGAATAGGGTAGGCTAAATTGTCCGTAGTGTATGAGTGTGTGTGTGAATGTTTCCCAGAGATGGGTTGTGGCTGGAAGGGCATCCGCTGCGTAAAAACGTGCTGGATAAGTTGGCGGTTCATTCCTCTGTGGCGATCCCAGATTAATAAAGGGACTTAGCCGACAAGAAAATTAATGAATAATTTGTATTTATTTGTTAACATAAACAAGTAGTGACAGACAAATCCTTAGAAATTCACCAAGATTTACAAATAAACAATATTTTATTGCTGTCATTTAGCAAAATGTATCAAATTATATAAATATTACAAAAGTAAAAGCGACAAATACTGTAAACAGTGGTTAGGGTGAGAAAAGGTTCAGTTACCATGAACTAAACTGAACTGTTAATAAAACATGTTGTCTGGTTTTCTGAATGTTGTTTTAAGAGCACCTCAAAACATATGATACACTGAGCCTTTAAGTCTTTTTTTGTTATCAATATATGTAAATCCACACTTTATATATTCGGGGGCGTACTTGGCCTTCAACATATTTGTTGCTATAATTAAATGAATAATCATATTTCAAACAGTAGGGGTGTTGCGTGTGCATTTCAAAATAAAAGTCCGGTCTAAGCAAAATAAGTTCAAAATTAAACTTTTCATTTATTTATTTATTTTTTTATGATATATTTTTTTCAGTATTTAGACAGGAAGCGAAGTTAGATAGAGAGAGGGGGTATTGTAGGGAAATGTCCTCGCGCCGAGATTCGATCTCGGGACGCCCTGATGTGCAACTGCTCCATATGTCGACGCGCTAACCACTAGGCTATTGCGCCGACAAAATTAAACTTTTTGACCACACACTCCACGACCCACTGAAAATGTTCCTACCAGTTGAGGAAACCTGGTCCACAGAACAAACCATCATTATACAACAACTTACCTAATTATTACCCTAACCTGCCTAGTTAACCTAATTAACCTAGTTAAGCCTTTAAATGTCACTTTAAGCTGTATAGAAGTGTCTTGAAAAATATCTAGTTTAATATTATGTGCTGTCATCATGGCAAAGATAAAATAAATCAGTTATGAGAGATGAGTTATCAAAACTATTATGCTAGAAATGTGTTGAAATTTATTTTCTCCGTTTAACAGAAATTTGGGAAAAAAATAGTGTATATATATATATATATATATATATATATATATATATATAAGGATTCACACTCTGGAATCTAAGGTTTTTTTTAATCTAAACGATTGAGTAAATGGCCTATAAAATTGTCCTAATTAAGGTATTAGCAAAGTGTTTTACTAATAAAAATAACAGTTTGCTACTGGTGGTTTCATGAACGTGACAGATGGATCCCATCCTACTGATAGATAGATAGATAGATAGATAGATGGATAGATAGATAGATAGATAGATAGATGGATAGATAGATAGATAGATGGATGGAT